AAAAAGAGAAAAACCCACAACCGCCTTTTCGAACTCCGCCCTGACACCACTGCCGGCCTTGAGTTACGAACGCCTTTTCGAACTCAGGACCTGATAGAGTCGCCGAAGGCCTGTTTTTCGTGCCTTTAGGAACTCAAAACATGACGCGTCCACAGTTGTTTCTTGATTGATTGATTGATTAATTGATTGATCTATTGGTGGGGGAGGGGCCGCCCCTCTTCCCCTCACATACGCACACACTTTTTATAACACGTTTTTTTCTCTTCGATTGATTGATGGGCGGGAGAGGGTTCGCCCCCCCCCCCCCACATACACACACACACACACGCACACACACACATGACAAAACACACGCTCTTGCTCTGTTTTTTCTTTTCACTTTTTTTTTTCAATTTCTTTTCACCTTTTTTTCTTAATTGATTGATTGATTGATTGATTGGTGGGGGAGGGGTCACCCCCACCCCCCCCCCTGCACATATGTTTTCAGAGGGGGGAAAATCCCGGAAGTCCATGGTCGTGGCCAAGATCTCGTCCTCCACCCAGGGCCGCGGGGGATACATAGGCCCAAAGCAATCAAATCAGGATAAATAAGGAGAAGAAGAGAGGGTAGAAGGTGGTTTAATGAGCATGTATGGGAAAGTATCCCATCCCAAGGCCAATGACTAGTACTATACCATACATTTTCTCAGACACTCATAGATAGTCTGGACGAACGTGGTAGCCAAAATCGCCCTTGAATTCAAGTCACCTCCCAGAGGTTCCTTGAGTTCAAGTGCCAGCCGATACCGCCAGCACGCGGGGTGAGCCTTTTTTTTGTTTTTCTTTTTTTCCAGCAGGCAATCCTGGCCCAGGATTGGTCGAGCGGTGGAGCTCAGTTCAAGTGCAGCCTGTTCAAGGTTTTCCTCAAGTGCACACGGAACCATAAATAGAGTAAGAGGTGGACCCCACCGGACGGCGGCTTGGAAAAAAAAAAGCGCCCGATCGTTTTGGAGACCCCACCGGTGATGGAAAGAGGTGTGGAAAGCCTCTTTGGAAAGGTTTTCCAGACCCGACCGGTGATGGAAAGGGGTTGCCGAAATGCTGACGGGKCRTTTCTACATGGTTGGCGGTCTGGAAAATCGCTGCCCGATCGCAGCATTCCTTTTCCAAACATGGCCCCCAGCAGAGTAAGGGGGGGGGCATGTTCTCCGATGGCATTGGAGGGCCAGACGGCATGGTCCACGCAGCGGTGGAGGGGACCATTTTTTGGACCTGCGTTGCCGCTGCGGACAACCACAACGGAAGGCCATGGACCAGTGCCCCTACCGAACTTTCCTATTTCGGACCTGGCCTTTAAAGTTTCCCTATTCGGGCAAGTGCGGCCGTTTCCAATGCGAAAGTTTGCGGTCGCGGTAGGGTGCCAACAAAATCTGCCAAACACATTCCAACGACGGTGGGGCGTTTTTAATGGCCTCGTGGGTTTTCCAGCCGCCGTCTGGTGGGGTCCAGCTTTTAATCACAATTTCTCACTTAGTGTGCACTTGAAACTCAAGTATTTTCAAGTGGTGTGGAACGAGGCTCTAAGTCGGGAATCCCCCAGGGGGTCTTAGTCCCCCTCTTGGGTGGCTCTGACACAAATGCACATGGACCTCCGGTGCGCACCGATTCAGCCACCGCGTTAACGGCCTAAAAACGTGGAGGTACTTTGTGGTGTAAGTCACCGGACCGCGTACTTCTAAACAGTTCGGCGGTGCTCGTGCTCTCACCAGCTATTTTGCTACAGTGCGGCCGGTCGTTTCGCATGCATTTATCCGTGGGCGGCGGGCTGGTTCATCTGATCTGAGCTAGTCCCCAACTCTTCTGAAGTGCTCAGTCTGGTGGTTTAATTGATCTGGACGGCTGATAACCAACTGACCCCAGGTGGTAGGGTTACCTGCAGGGTATAATTGCGAACACGCCAGACTCTTTCTATGTTTCCTTTTTCTTTAACTTTATGTTTATGTTTATTTTTAATTTTCATAATATAAAGGTGTTATCCTGTTAGGTACATTAAATTTGTTGAGGAAAAAAGAGGATTTTGCGGTTACCGGGGACTAGGTCCCACTTGCGCGAATTAAGAGAGATACTGACCGTAGATCGCAAAGATCAACGGTCAAAATCTCCTAATTTGCGCAAGTGGGACCTTGCCCCAGGACAACCCAACTGGGTCATTCTAGGTCCCACTTGCGCGAATTAAGAGATACTGACCGTAGATCGCAAAGATCAACAGTTGAAATCTCCTAATTTGTGCAAGTCGGACCTTGCCCCGGGACAACCCAACTGGGTCACGGCCCACTTGCAAGGCTTCTTTCCTTCTTTCTCTCTTTCTTTCTCAATCCTTTTTATTTGCAAGGATATTTTGTTTCTGTGCCAGGATTAAAAACATCCGGGGCCAAGTCCCACTTACCCGAATTCTCCAAATCTGACGGTAAATTCGCAAGATCAACGGCCAAAAATGACGAATCAGCGTCAGTGGGACTTGGACCCTGCTGCTCAGCCAGAGAGCCGGCCGGGAAAAAAAATTACTATTAAATTAGTGAGCAAGAAGAAAACGACATTGACGTTTTTGACTGCGTCCAGTGTGTCAGTCAGCAGGTGCCGCGCTAAATCAATAGAAGGGAATCAAATTGCCAAAACCAAAAGGAAAAACTTCATAAAAGGACAAACATGAAATGTGTGCGCCTCTAGACCAACAAAGTTATGGAACATAATTGCGCCTTTTTTCTTTTTCTTTTTTTTTTTTTTGGTGGAACTCCCTTGTGGATGTTATCAGTGTTGATACGAGCTATGTATCTCCAGCGGTTGACCGCGGGCATGACCGCCGCGGCCGTGGCCGAAATCGGCTTGCTACGACCAAGGGGAGGGGGGTACTGACAATCGGGGTCAGGATTCCCACCGCGCGACCAGGGCCCACCCCCCCCCCAATTGAAAAAAATATATATATATAGCAAATGGGGGGTTCAATTTTAGGGGGGGGGGGGGGGGAGAATAATGGACCTTCTTTTAATTTTTTTTTTCCGTTTGATTGAACGATTGGGCAGGTTTTTTTTTGTTTTTTTTTTCTTTTTGATTGATTGATTGATTGACTGGTTGATTGATTGATTGATTGATTGATTGGTTGATTGATTGATTGATTGATTGATTGGTGGGGGAGGTCCTCCCAACCTTCCCCCCGGCACACACACACACACACATACACCCGCCCGCTCGCACACACTCACACCCGCCCGCCTGCGCGCACACACACACGCACACCCATCCGCGCGCGCACACACACACACACGTGCACACACACACGCGCACACACACATACACACACACACACACGTGCGCACACACACATACACACACACACACACACACACACACACACAGACACACACACACACACGCACGCACACACACAATCTCTCTCTCTCTCTCTCTCTCTCTC